GGGGGGGTTGTGCTGTCCCGAGGCGTGCGGGATGGGGAGCGCTGGCTGCCGAGTAGTCGCTTTGGGTCAAGCTGCTCTTTTTGCAGTTGGTCATAACGACCCCAAATACTGACTATTATTATTTTGAGACAAACTGATTTATGCATAAAAACGCATCCACGTGTTCTGTTAAAGATAGGCCTACCTCTAGCACGGCGGTCTCCAACGTGGAGACAACCCGAGGCGTGCGGGATGGGGAGCGCTGGCTGCCGAGTAGTCGCTTTGGGTCAAGCTGCTCTTTTTGCAGTTGGTCATAACGACCCCAAATACTGACTATTATTATTTTGAGACAAACTGATTTATGCATAAAAACGCATCCACGTGTTCTGTTAAAGATAGGCCTACCTCTAGCACGGCGGTCTCCAACGTGGAGACAACGTGGAGGTCTCTCACGTGATGGTGGGAGAAGCTCATTTTTCCCCCCACTAATGTACGTCTGCAAGGATTGGTCCCTTGGGGACTGTCAGGACCCTAATTTACTCATGATAAACACTAAAATTGCAAGCGGTTCATGTAACAACTGTAGCAGTTTGGGCAGCCATTGTATTTACCCAGCAAAAAATATTTTTGGCTTGCCAAGAAGTAGGACATTTTCATTATGTAAAATTAGAGCAAGAAATCCAGACATTTAAATACAGGTTAAAGTTCAGATTTTCATGTCAAGTAAAATCTGGCTGATGTAAAATACTAAATACACCAGGGATTGCTAAATTTATACCATATGTTCCATTTCCAATAATTCAGTAAGTCAGCTTTTCGAGCTAACATTGAAATATATTGAGTGGTTTTAATGATTTTAAATACCATGTGGCTTTATCAAATGCAAACAGCGTCCCTGGGCTGTGACTGACATTTCAGCAAAGTAGGTTACAGGCCCATGGCAGAATTAACACCTTGAATTAAAAAAAGCCTAAGCTGCACTGCAGTTTTATGAGCTCTGCATCCCATTGACTTCCCCACCAAATAGCGGCAGGTTTTTTTGTGGGGGGCAAAAAAAAAGCCACTACCTTTTGTAGTTGAGAGGTTTATTCAGATACTGACACATCAAGAGGCATTTCCCAGTAGCAGTGCTGGACCCGGTGGATTTGTCCGACTGATTTTTACAAGCTGAGGCATGATCTGAGACACTGTTGGAGAATGTGTTCCACCCCTGCCCAGTACATGAAGATGATCAGAAAGCATCCATCCCTGCGTCTGAGTCTGGTTCTGCGTCTGGGAGAAAGGCTTTCTTGAGAATTCCCGAGTAGAAAGGTCCAAACGCCTGCCTGTTGTGGTGGATCGCACTTCCCAACCTGCGCCCCATTTCCAGCAGCTCTTCCTGAATGGGATCAAGGCCCTTTGGGAAATCTTTTTGAGAAGTCTGTCCATCAGGGGAAACGAAAAGGCTGAGGAGGGAATGAATCTGCTGCTCTGTAGGGAGCAAAAGTAAAGAAAACAAACAAAATCAACAATCAACCTTTGCACAGAAAGCTGCCTTTGAGACAACGGCTTCCGCATGCAGCCAAGAGCGGGTGGCAGGACGTTGTGGACAAGTTACGCTCTAGAGCGACTCCGGGACACGCTGGATTAACGTATTCCTCTTCCAAATACTAAGCAGATGAAACAGCACCCAGCACGGGAACCGAGGTGAAACTGTGCGACACAAGGAGAGTACTGGAGCATCAGGTGCACTTGCCTTGTTTTCACCTTGTCCTGGGTAGCTGCTTCTAACGATGGCTATCGCTGGGGTACTGGGCTGAAGGGCTTAACAACGGTCAAATCCATCAAGCCTAATGTTAAAGTGGAGCAGGTTGACAGTAAAGATTTTTCACCCACTCTGAGAGTTTTTGTACGGCATTGAAGCGTCAAGCATCTTCAAAGCGTAACAGAGTATAGAACTTCAGAGCCCGGGATTTATCTTGCCTGCCACAGCAGCATTTTGAAATTGCAAGCCTTCAAGAAGCCTCTCTGAGGAGCACAGAGCCGAGATTCAACTACCCGGCTGCTTCAGATGTTCTTGCGCTTGAAGTGAGTATGTGGCAAATGCTGATAGCAGCCAGGAGCGCAGGCAAGACACGGGTTTGATTTTTTAGACACGGAGCGGGGAAGGCTGTCTAGTTCTGCAGCTTCTAATGCCGCACCGTCGGTGAGTCATTGCCATCACACGCTGCCCAGCCTGTAGTTTATCGAGGTTTGGTTGAGGCTATTAATTCAGCCTTCTGAATTCCATCAAAACAAAATAGCCTGCTCTGACATGGAAAGAATAACCCAAATAAACAGTGTGGTGGAGTCCATGCGGGCTGGGAAGGATACTTAACTAGACGAAGCAGTGGGCAGGAAGAACCTCGCCTTATTTTCATAGCTGATAAAAGCTACCTTCCATGTGGAAATAATCTTTCCTGTAGCGTACTAGCTGCCTGTGGCACTGCAATCTGATGCGGAGTTAGCGTTCAGAGTACTAGTAAAAGGTCAAAATAACCAGCTCTTATCCAAACCATTTGAATAAATATTTTGATGGAGCAGCATTATAGGGCAGCTGGTTAGCTGAATACCAAGCAGTGCACTCTCTAGGGATAAATATTATTTAAAGATCTTAGCATGGTGCTTTACTACAGCCAGTGATTAAGCTCTCACTCTACATCCTAGCTTGAAGATTGCAACACTACCTAGGAACAGACCTTGCACTTGGGCCTGTTTAGCTTTTAGCAAGGATGGGAGGATTTAAGAGGTTTTTTTCAAAGCAATTACTGTTTGGGAGCGTTTCAGGGTGGAATAGGAAAATCAAGGCAGTTTCTAAACCCAGCTTCCCTGACTCTCCTCTCCTGTGCAGACTACGTGGAGGGGCCAGACACCGAACTCGGCTCCCACCCTCAAGCAGGAGTCCTGCTCAGTGCGGGGAGTTTGCTTTGCTGGTGCCGATCCTAGACCTGTCCTGCACGCTCCAGGCTCGTTAGCCTAAACCTAAGCTGTGGCCTACGAGTGCAAAGTGGCTTCAAGGTCAAGTCAGACGTAAGCTCAGAGACTCACCGATGACATGCCGGACTGCGTTGCTCTTGTCCGCGATGCCTTTTATCTGGCCTTTCCGGGAAGCATATTTGTCAGTGGTAAAAGCAGCGTAACCCAGCTGCAAGAGAGTCCTGCAGCCTTCCTGGAGCAGTTGGTCGCTGATCTCTTCTAAAGCTTCTTCACACCTAAATCATGCAAAGGTACAGGCGCTCCGGCCACGACTCCCACAGGTTGGGGAAGGGGTCTGGCAGGCACAGTGCAGGGAGGGAAGCCTCCCCGCGTGCCTGTGGAGCGGCACTGCAGCCAGCGAGCTCAGGACAACCAACGCTCAGCCAGAGCTCGGTGAACTAAGCTCCCCTTCCCGGCTCTTTGGCAAGCAGTAGGCTGCCCTGCGGCCGACTCATGAATAGCGATCAGCACCACTGATTTTCCCCTCTCATCAAGAAGGGACTATTGCTCTAGAGAGTTAACTCCCAGCTAAAAATGCTGGCTGGCTTCCCCCACGCCTTGCAGTAGACCTGGCTGCTATTTGGATCTCAGATCCCCTTTCCCAGGGGGGAGATTCGTGCTGCTCATCCCTCAACCAACCAGTGCCTGCATACTCACTGTTCTCCTTCTGGAAATGAAAACTCAAAGTAACCCACCTGGTACAAGACGGCCCTTCCAAGAGCACCTTCGTTACCCGTTTCAGTCTAGCTACAAACTCAGGTGAGCCACGTAAGGTGCTTCCGCACACGCTGCTGGCCACCAGCAGGACAGCAGCTGTGGCAGTAAGCCGATTCACCTGCGCTTGTACTTCCTGCAGCCGGGCCTGATCCATAACCAGCATCTGTGAACAGAAACCAAATCAGCCTCTGGGTGCAGGAACAGCAGCTGTGGTAACTCCGCAGATCTCAAGCCACGGAGCAGGGCTGTAACATCCCCGTGAAGCTGAGTGGAAGGCAGCTGCCTGGCAGCAGGGAAGTTTAGTTTTGTGAAAAATCCCATTTGTTTCACATAGGGAAAAACCATGTGCAACGACTCATAGTGTAGAGGGGACAGAGTCTGGCCAGTTCTTTCTATAGAAGATGCGGAACTGGTACACTTGTTCATTTTGTACATCTTTATTAAAATACTGTCAAGGTGTCCCAGCAGTTCTCCTACCTCAGGGTATTCCTTTTGCCCAGGCTCCCAGCAGAGCAGATTCACGTATCCTCGATTTAGCACGGACGCAAGACTGGGCACAGTGGGGCTACCGCTGACAGCCCCCGGCGAGCGTGCGGCAGATGAGCCGCCGACTGCAGGGGGGGGAGACGGCTGTGAAGAGGACACGGACGCTTCCGCTGCTGCTTTGCACAGCCACTCTCTTATGCGATCCAGGCTATCTGTAACGGGGTAACAAAAATGGACGTTTGCAAGAACAGACTGGTCAGGCTAAGTCAGTAAGAAGCGGGTATGCTGTACTGCGAGCCGCTGTGTGTTTGGAAGGCGAAGGCATCGTGCTGGCTCCTGGAACGGTGGGGAGTGGCTTACCCCATCGCTGACGTACAATATTAACGTCCTGCTGCCAGGGCACAGGGTTAGGCTACTGAGACTGGTATCCAGAGAACATTTTATTTCCTAGAGGATTTCAGTCTCCAAGAAGCACCTTTAATGGAATCATCGAATCGTTTAGGTTGGAAGAGACCTGTAAGATCATCCAGTCCAACCATTAACCTCACACTACCCAGTCCACCACTAAACCAATTAAGGGGAGAGTAATAATTAATTTCATGTTTCTTGGCTTGGTGGCTGGATTAATTTTTAATGAAAGTAAAACTAGGAATCATTAAGGTTGGAAAGGACCTCCAAGAGTCTGATGAAGGAGACGGGCAGCCAGAGAGAAATCTTCTACAGCCTAGCAAAGGAGATGTTTACATCAAATGCAGGCTTCCCTCTTTAAATATGCCTCCTAACAACATTTTGCTCCTTTCTCTGAGGATCTCAAAACACTTTAAACTCATGAGAACTTAACAGTTCCTCCTGAGAAAGCTATCAGCTCTGTCTTATGCATGCAGAAACTGAAGCACACTAAGTAACTTCATTTCTGCAAGGTATGTTAGTGAAGAGCCTTGAGGAAGGGACCCGGGAGTCCTCCAGCTTTTAGAGGCATTTCTCTCACCTGTTACTGAGCACATGATGAAAGCAGCACCTTTGGAACACTAAAAGTTCCCTTTCAGTGCTTTAATAGTTCCTGTAGAAGTAGCAGTTCACCTCTCCCTTCCCCTCTGACTTACTAGGCAGCTTATCCAAGAGTTCCTGGAATTTCTTCCATTCATACTGGACAGAGTGGTCTTGCAAATGGGTACGGAGGCTCTGAATGATAAAATTCAGCATATCCGTTTTCCTCAGGCCCAACACCTGGAAAATCTCCCTGTGATGAGACACAGTGGATTGAAGGTTTAAGACTGCAGTAAATGCTGTAATTGGGGCCATTTTAGAATGCTGAGAAAGAGGAATTCAGATCCTCTGACTCGATTCCATTTTCTCACAAAAGGTGGTTCGGTCTAATTGGGGTGGTCCCTAAAAATTACTAGATAAACCAGATTTACTTCACTAAAGACTCTTCTACTGTCTAAATTGCAGCTGGGCAACAGGAATATGTCTACATTGAAAAAAACAAGGAAGTCAAAGCCCAGAATGCACGCAAGGGTCCTTGGGCTGTAATTGCAAAGCAGTTTCCTCTTAACCCAACGTTTTATGGTTGAAGGTTTTGTCAGTCCGTGTAGACCAAGGCCAAGTCAGCATCACCCACCTGAGAAGCTGAGCTGGGTCTGTGAGGCTTTGCAACCCTCGTACTTCCTCATCTCGAATGGGCGCGCACAGCCTTGCCATTGTGCCAAGGACGTACACGGTGAGACTGCAGATATCCAGAGCCCCGTGCTCAGCCTCCTGTCTAATTAACTCCACGTCCAAGGCCTCTTCAATCTGGCTTCGCAGGTGGTTGTGCCATGGCAGCAGTACTGACAGCAGGGCCTGCCCAAAGAAGCGGCGGTCTCCTTTTGTTCCAGGAACTCAACAGCTCTCCAGCATCACTCAACAAGAGTCAAGGGTGGCCTTGTATTGAGACTAAGCTAACTCCTCAGTACACAAATTCTGGGGCACACAATCGCTTTACGGGAATGCTTGACTCTATTGACTCACTTTAGGATGTCTGGCTACTGTTTTAGATCTTGCAAAACCTCCTTTACTGTCACGCATGAAAGAAGGGAGTTACCTGTCTGGAGCCTAATGGGAAAGCATAGACTGAAAAAGCAAACTGTACACAACTTCATGCCCTGCTAAGAACATAATGTCCTTTAGTGCTAAACCATGTTCTTACTCACTTCATTGTACACTTAAATAGTACATACAGCTCCTCATATGCCTGAAGAGGTGTCTTTGTACAGAGAATTGCAGGTTTTGTTTGGCAGACACTATACCGGGAATGGCCTACGGCTGTTACTATAGCCAACAGTTCAAACAAAGGCTTCCCATCCTTTTGGTAGAGCATATGTTTTAAAGACGTGGGACCAAAGAATGAGTTTCCTTCTCAGACAGGTTTTAGAAGGTGCAATTGTGTAATTTGTGTCTCGAACTAAACTAAAACTAAAGGGAGCCTATTTTCTCCTCCCTCTTATGCATGTTCACATAGGAATACTGGACGTAAGGGGTGAGGGGATGATTCAGAGAAGACAAATTCTAAGGTAACCATCTCTGGTTCAGGAAAGAACTCACCTCTTTTATCTCCTGCAGCAGCTGGATTGCCCGAGTGTAGTCTGGGGGACTAGCAGAGAGCTGTTCCTCCAGGCTGTCCCAGAAGGCCTTGTGCAACGTCTCCTTCACTCCCTTTTCCAGGCTAAGAAAGAAGAGAGGAGGGGAGGGGGTTTCCATTAACATCAGACAACCACAACCTCTCAGTTGGATGGGACCATTCCCCTTGGCTTTCACTGAGGTTCAGGTCTTTGGACATTTTCTTCTCTTAGCCTTTACTCCTGTCTGGCAGCAATGTACCTCGCCTTTCCCTAGCTCATGGAAATCTCTCTCAGCCTAAATTTCCTATTCTTCTCAAGTGGAACTCCTTCCTTTCAGCCCTGTTCATAAAATGCAGCCCTTTTAACTTGTCTTAACTGAGGGGTAAAAAGAGCATAGCATTTTTCAAGGAAACTCTCCAAGCTCTCAGAGAAGATCAACAGAATGTTTTTCTAGCTCATGCTTGTTTTTGCAACGAGAGAACGTCAGTCACTTAAACAGATCTTTTAGTAAAATGTAGGCACCTCAGAGGAGATCCTCACTGAAAAGCCTGCTTTGTTCATGTCAAGGTCACAGCTTACACAGCTGAAGCCTCCACATCTTTCAGTGTTAGTGAGTCATATCTGACACTCATATTTAAGAACTTCTTAGTAAATAGTGAGGCAATGAATAAATAAAACAAGCTCCAACAATTTTTTAATTTCAGGAGCTACCTTATTTTCTTGTTACTTCTACAGTCAGATTCAAACCCACCTCCTTCCCACATTCTCACGTTTTCTGTAATGTGAGAGAAAGAAGTCAAGCCTAAATATACACACACACACCTTTTTGGGGAGAAGCTGGCTGCTTGCAGTTTGAAGTCACTGTTGAGTACAGTTTCGTGCACAGTGGTCAGTTTGGAAATGCCATCAGTTATTTGCTGTAGCTCGCTCATGGAGAGAGCTTGCGGAGGGCTGGCTGCAGAAACGCAGAATGAAAGTGGACGAGAGAAGGAACGCTAACCTTCGTCTCCCGAGAGAAGGGGATTTAAACAAATTACTGGACAGCTTTTTAAGTGACAAAGGGAGAAGGTGCGGGTTTGCGTGTAGACAACACACCTCACTTTCTGTAGGTGTAAAGGGAGCTGCCACCTCAGCCGGGCTCCCCACGCCC